TGTCTTTCCAGAAGTGAAAGCGGGAACCTGTCCAAAGGAATACTCCTCCCAATCATGTATGAGGCCCACCTACAGAGGGTGCAAAGGGGACTCGGATTGTTCAGCGAAAAAGAAATGCTGTGTAATACTTTGTAATATGAAGCCTGGATCCCGAAGGTAAGTGTACCTCTGCATTAATAAAATACTAATTGACCCGATGCAGACCAGATCTCATCCAAATGTGAGGGGGGAACTGTTGGTATTGCCCATAGAAGCCAATCAGATCCCTTTCCTTCTCCCAGAGATAGAAAAATACCAAAATAAATAGGAAAAATATAGAGCTTTGAAGTAACATTGTTTATAAATATCGATCAGACAAGAAAAAGAAAGATACAAAGTAACATTTTTTGTAAGCATTGATCAGATGGGAGATAGGGAGATACAAAGTAACATTGTTTATAAACATCGATCAGACGGGAAATAGAGAGATACAAGGTAACATTGTTTGTAAAACATCGACCAGACAGGAAATAGAGAGATACAAAGTAACATTGTTTGTAAACATCGACCAGACAGGAGATAGAGAGATACAAAGTAACATTGTTTATAAACATCACTCAGACGGGAGAGAGATACAAAGTAACATTGTTTATAAACATCGATCAGACGGGAGATAGAGAGATACAAAGTAACATTGTTTATAAACATCGATCAGACAGGAAATAGAGAGATACAAAGTAACATTGTGTGTAAACATCGACCAGACAGGAAATAGAGAGATACAAAGTAACATTGTTTGTAAACATCGACCAGACAGGAAATAGAGAGATACAAAGTAACATTGTTTATAAACATCGATCAGACGGGAGATAGAGAGATGCAAAGTAACATTGTTTATAAACATCGATCAGACGGGAGATAGAGAGATGCAAAGTAACATTGTTTATAAACATCGATCATCGGGAGACGGGAGATAGAGAGATGCAAAGTAACATTGTTTATAAACATCGATCAGATGGGAGATAGAGATATACAAAGTAACATTGTTTATAAACATCGATCAGATGGGAGATAGAGATATACAAAGTAACATTGTTTATAAACATCAATCAGATGGGAAATAGATACAAAGTAACATTGTTTATAAACATCGATCAGACGGGAGATAGAGAGATACAAAGTAACATTGTTTATATAAACATCGATCAGAGAGACGGGAGATAGAGAGATCAAAGTAACATTGTTTATAAACATCGATCAGACGGGAGATAGAGAGATGCAAAGTAACATTGTTTATAAACATCGATCAGACGGGAGATAGAGAGATACAAAGTAACATTGTTTATAAACATCGATCAGACGGGAGATAGAGAGATACAAAGTAACATAGGTTCCATAAACAATAAAATGACAAGCATTCTCACCAGTAATATAGCAGTATCATCAAATAAAAGCCTTGTGTGCCCCATGAAATAAGTTTGATATGTTTGTTAATGAGAAGTCATTTCTGAATTGGCACGCCGATAACAGAATCCTTAAGCTGGGTTATGCTCTCAAGAATTTCATTTGACATTTTGTGTTGTAAGAACGGGTTTACTTTTTTCTGGTACCAAAAGATCTTTGTTGAAAAGAGTAACAAAGCATGAGAGCAAAAGCAGTACATAACAAACGACGTCCAAACAAGGAACAGTGCACAGTGTCATAATAGCAGGGGTCCGCTGAACAGGAATCAATTGTTATGATTGGCTGTTAGAGCAGGGGTCTCCAAACTTTCTAAGCAAAGGGCTCGTTTACTGTAGTACAGACTTTAGGAGGGCCGGACTGGAAAATGTTCCGGTATCAGTGGGAGCAGGGGCGGACTGACAACTCATGGGGCCCCCGGGCAAATAGGGGATCATGGGGCCCCTGTGTCCTTGCCCAAATTTAAAAAAGCCTATGAAAAAGGTACCAGGGGCATCTCATGGGGCCCCCTACTGACCCCGAGTCCTCAGGCAGTGCTCGAGTTTCCAAATGGTCAGTCCACCCCTGAGTGGGAGTAAACAATGCCCCATCTTTGGTGTTAGTGAGAGGAATTGTGCCCCATCGATGGTGTTATTGGGAGAAAAATTGTGCCCCATTCTTGGTATTATTGGGATGAACTGTGCCCATCGTTGGTGTCATTGGTGGGAATTGAGTGCCCCATCATTGGTGCCATTGGTGGGAATTGCGCCCCATCATTGGTATGATTGGTGGGAATTGTGACCCATGATTGGTGTCATTGGTGGAAATTGTGCCCCATCGTTTGTGTCATTGGTGTGGGAATTGTGCCCCATTGTTGGTGCCATTGGGGGAATTGTGCCCCATCGTTGGTGTCATTGGTGGGAATTGTGCCCCATCGTTGGTATCATTGGTGGGAATTATGCCCCCACCGTTGGTGTCATTGGTTGGAATTGTGCCCCATCATTGGTGTCATTGGTTTGAATTGTGCCCCATCATTGGTGGGAATTGTGCCTCATCATTGGTTTCATTAGTGGGAATTGTGCCCCATTGTTGTGTCATTGGTGAGAATTGTGCCCCATCATTGGTATCATTGATGGGAATTGTGCCCCATCATTGGTATCATTGATGGGAATTGTTCCCCATCGTTGGTGTCATTGGTGGGAATTGTGACCCAATCGTTGGTGATTGGTGGGAATTGTTCCCCATCGTCAGTATCATTGGGAGGAAATTGTTGGTGTCAGGGGATTAGTAGTGCCCCAAGGGCCTGATAAAAGCGAGCAAAGGGCCACATCTGGCGCCCAGGCTGCAGTTTGGAGACTAACTGGTCTAGAGTGATATTGTGAAGAAACACTGAGCTCATAACCAGAGGTATACCTAAACCTGGTAGTCTACAGCAAATGTTTGCTGAGAGGAATCATATAACCTGACTGCAAGAATATCTCCCATCAATATCCCAAGGAGAAAAAAAGGGGGGTAAGAGTCAGTTGTGTGACGGGAGTGACTTTGGTGGGGGGGGGGCCCATGGAACACAGCTCACTTTGGAGGGGTGGGGAGACCCCTGTCTCAGATCCCCATTTTCCCTATTATGTGTAAGTCACCCTGTGCCTGTTAGGGGTACAGGGTGGAATGTTCCAATATTGGGATGGGGGGGTGTTCATTGTTCACTGCCATGTGGCTGCATCCCATTGTTCTATTGTGTGTCTTGCTTGGGAGCAAACTATTATGGGATGTATGGGTTTCCCAATGAGCACAGTGGCCTCCATCATCTGTAAATGAAAGAAGTTTTGAAACCACCAGGAATCTTCCTAGAACGGGCCACCAGGCCAAAATTGAGGGAGAAGGGCCTTAGCCAGGGAGGTAACCAAGCACCCAATGGTCACTGTGAAAGGAGCTCCAGCGTTCTCTGTGGAGAGAGGAGAACCTTCCAGAAGAACAACCATCTCTGCAGCACTCCACCAATCAGGCCTGTATGGTAGAGTGGCCAGACGGAAGCTACTCCTCAGTAAAAGGCAAATGGAAGCCCACCTGGAGTTTGCCAAAAGGCACCTGAGGGACTCTTAGACCATGAGAAACAAAACTCTCTGGAGTCTGATGAAACAAAGATTGAGTCTTTGGCCTGAATGCCAAAGCGTCATGTTTGGGAAACCAGGCACAGCTCACCACCTGGCCAATACCATCCCTACAGTGCTGAAGCATGGTGGTGGCAGCATTCATACATACACCTACTAGGGGCAATTTAAGATAGGATCAAATTAACCTACCGGCATGTCTGTGGGGTGTGGAGGGAGGCTGGAATGCCTGGGGGAGGCCCATACAGGCACAGTGAGAGCATGCAGGCTCCAGGCAAGTGGTGCGGTGGTTGGGATTTGAGCTAATGACCCTAGTACTGTCAGGTGGAGGTGCTAACCATTTAGCTACTGTGCTGCCCCATACCCCATTATGTTTTTCAAAATATACCTTGTAGTGTTTGCTTTTCAAAATGGGGTAATTTTGAGGTTTTTTTCTGTCCTGCTGTTCCAGGGCCTCCAAATATATGAGAGGTAGTCAGTAAAATATATGTGTAAATTATGCTCCTTGAAAGCCCAAGGGTGCTCCTTTGGATTTTGGGTCCCCCTATGCATCTAGGTTGTGAAAAAGTCTCACACATGCGGTATCCCCATACTCAGGAGGCATAGCTGAATGTGTTTTTGAGTGTAATTTGTAAGGATGCCCATGCTATGTGTGAGAAATAACTTGTTAAAATGGCAACTTTGTGAAAACAAATGTATTTAACTTCATTTTCTGAAAAACTGAGGTAAAAAAAATTACAACATCAGAAAACTCACCATGCCTCTAATTACTGCAAATACTTTGGACTGTCTACTTTCCTTAACCTCCTCCTGCCTGCCATATAAGGTAATGATGGGCGCAAGGCGGTTCTCTTGTTCTGGGAGGACATCATATGATGTCCTCCCACTTTAACCGCACGTGAGCGCCCCCGGGGGGGCGCGCAGCACGGCGATCGGTGGTGCACTGTGTCCCTGGGACACTGCGGATCACCGGTAAATGGAAAGAGCTGAAGATGTCAGCTCAGTCATGTGATCAGCTGTGTCCAATCACATCAGTGTGCCCTGATGATCAGTGTAGCCCCAGCAGTGCCACCTGCCAGTGTCCATCAATGCCACCTGCCAGTGCCCACTAGTGCCACATCAATGCCACATATCAGTGCCTACCAATCCATATCAATGCCACATATCAGTGCCCATCTGAGCTGCCTTTCAGTACCACCTATCAGTGCCAGTCAGTGCCACCTATCAATGCCAGCCAGTGCCGTCTATCAGTGCTGCCAATCAGTGCCACTTATCAGTGCCAGTCAGTGCCGCCTATCAGTGCCAGTCAGTGCCGCCTAAGGATAAAAATCACTTATTTCCAAAATTTTATTACAGAAACTAAGAAAAAACCTATTTTTTTTTTTTCAACATTTTCAGTTGTTTTTGATTTGTTTAGCAAAAAAAAAAACCCAGAGGTGATTAAATACCAGCAAAATAAAGCTCTATCTGTCTCAAAAAATGATAAAAATTTCATATGGGTACAGTGCAGGGGCAGACTGACCATTTGGAAACTCGGGCACTGCCCGAGGGCCCGGGGTCAGTAGGGGGCCCCATGAGATGCCCCTTGTACCTTTTTCATAGGCTTTTTTGAGTTTGGGCAAAGACACAGGGGCCCCATGATCCCCTATTGCCCGGGGGCCCCATGAGTTGTTAGTCCGCCCCTGGTACAGTGTTGCATGACCGCACAATTGTCATTCAAAGTGTGATAGCGCTGAAAGCTGAAAATTGGCCTGGACAGGAAGGGGGTATAAGTGCCCTGTAGGCAAGGGGTTAAGGAGTGTAGGGGAAGACTTTTCTTTGTAGTAAAAACCTCAGTGCCGAGAACAGACATTTGTATGGCAAAAACAGCGTTCAGCTAATGTTCTCATTGTCTTCCCATCCACAGATTGAGGTCGCGGCAAGAAGGGACACAAGATGCTTAAAGAGACACAATGGTGGAATAAACCCTTTGTGATCAAGGAGATGTCATCCCTGAATATGACATTAATATACACAATAAAAGAATAATTGGAAATTGTGTTCCATAATGATTCGTGAGTGTATCTATATGTTTATTATAGTGGCACCCCATATGGAAGAAAAATATATTTGAAATATATTTTAAAAATATTCTTCCCAAATATATTGCCATGTATTTGAAATGCTACAATTATTTTGGCCGTATTCAATGTATATTTTAAAATACATTTCAATATATACAGTATGTATGTATATATATATATATATATATATATTATATATATATACACACATACATACTGCATGTTGAAATGTGTTTTTATTACAAAATATATGAAAAATATTTTTTAAAATACAGTTCAAATATACTGTATGTCTTTAAAAATACAAATCTACATTTTTGGAAAGCATTTACCCACATATGTAAAAATAGTTGTTAATATAACTTTTTATATATTTAAAAAAAAATCTGAAGAATATATTTAAAAATATATATATATATTTTAAAAAGTCATTTTAATATATATTTTTACATTTACATATTGGAAATGTAGATTTGTATTTTTTAAAGACATACAGTATATTTGAAATGTATTTTTAAAAATATGTTTCATATATTTTGAATAAAAACGCATTTCAACATGCAGTATATATATTATATATATATTTATATACTGCATGTTGAAATGCGTTCTTATTACAAAATATATGAAACATATTTTTAAAATATACTTCAAATGTATTATTTTTTTTCCATGTGGGACTAAACGCCACAATCAGACTGTTACCTCCCTAGCGGTATGATTATTTACGATTTTTTTGCTGAAAGCGTTTTTGTGCTGAGCGAGCGGTACCAATTTTTTTTGCATGAAATATGTAGTTTTTTATTGTAGGCTGTAATTTTTAGGAATAACTCACTGAAATCTGTCCGAGACAAGAGTCTAGTAAACATCCCGGGTAGGATAAAATTTGAAACACGAAATCATAAATTATAATTTAATAAATAATCAAATAAAAAAATAATAATATAATAATAATAAATTTAATACAATAAATATAATCAAACCAAAAACACTGAAATTTGAAAATAAAGCGTGAGCCAAGTTTAGCACATCACTGAGCAAGAATCGTTTTCAGTTTCTGATGACAAATTTCCTTTTCCCCCACGAATCATTATCACTCAATTTTGCAAGTGGTTCTGAATTTACTATCGCTGTTTCTCTAGCTCTTCTAAAACCACTTTTGACCTAAAGGGACGCTTTTTGGACACCATGGACTTTTCTAATTTCCAGCAGAAAGAACAGTCAAAATGCAGGCAGGGCACAGGACAAAGCACTCGGGACAAAATGTATGTGAAATGCAATGTTTTTACTATGTAATAATCATTTTAAAAATGACCGGAACACGGAAGCCGGATGCCGGCATCGGCCGTAGGAGATGGCCGGGGACGCTGCAGGGGGACATCGCGGGAGTGCAGGACAAGGTAATGCCTGCAGGGACCCCCTGGAGCTACACAACCGCATGGTAAGCCCCGGGGTTACCGCTCTTGGGTACTAAATTTTATACGCCGAGCTACACTCAGGAATAACCGCCAGGGATTTAATCCTTATCAAAGCACATCTTATCAAATCAAATAAAAATGCATTTCAACATCAGTGTATATATATATATATTATATATAGAATATGGGCAAAATGTTATTACATTTCAAATATTTTGGCAATACATTTGGGAAGAATATTTTTAGAATATATATTTCCAATTTATTTTTCTTCCATGTGGGACTAAACGCACAATCAGACTTTGCCCCACATCAAAGCACATCTTATCAAATCATTGTTTCCAGGTTCCCGAAAACATTATGATTTTAGATTTCTGAAGTTTATTGTAGATGATGATGCAGAGCTGAGCATGCCCATCTACTCCTGCATCCCCGGCATCTTCACAGTGCTGAAATTTGCAGAGCACATAGTCCTACCACCATGGAAGAAAAATATATTTGAAATGCTACATTTTGCCCATATTCAATATATTTCAAAATATATTTCAATAAATATGTATATATAGTATATACAGTGAGGAACAGAAGTATTTGAACACCCTGCGATTTTGCAAGTTCTCACACTTAGAAATCATGGAGGGGTCTGACATTCCACATTGTAGGTGCATTCCCACTCTGAGAGACAGAATAAAAAAAAAAAAATTCAGGAAATCACATTGTATGATTTGTAAAGAATGTGGTTTGTCTTGCACTGCTGAACATAAGTATTTGAACACCTAAGAAACTGCAAGAATTCTGGCTCTCAAAGACCTGTTTACTGTGCCTTTAAAAAGTCCACCTCTACTCCACTCATTAATCTAACTTAGTAGCACCTGTCTGAGCTCTTTTAAAGACACCAGTCCCACCCCACAGTCAGTCAGACGCCAACTACTACCATGGGCAAGACCAAAGAGCTGTCAAAAGACACCAGAGAAAAAATTTCCCTTGGACCTCCACAAGGCCTGGAAAGGGCTACGGGGCAACTGACTAAGCAGCTTGGTGAAAATAGATCAACTGTTGGAGCAATTCCAATTTAGAAAATGGAAGAGGCTAAAGACGACTAAGTCCAGTCTCCCTCCGGACTGGGGCTCCATGCAAGCAAATCTCACCTCGTGGGGTATCACTGATGATAAGAAAGGTGAGGAATCAGCCCAGAACTACAAGGAGGAGCTGGTCAATGACATGAATAGAGCTGGGACCACAGTTTCAAAGGTCAATGTCGGTAGATAACACTACGCCGTCATGGTTTCAAATCATGCATTGCATGGAAGATTCCCCTGTTCAAGTCATCACATGTCCAGGCCCCGTTTGTGTGAAAGTTTTTGCCAATGACCATCTGGATGATCCAGAGGAGGCATGGAGAAAGTCATGTCATGTGGTCAGATGAGACCAAAGTAGAACTTTTTGGTCTAAAACTACACTCGTCGTGTTTGGAGGGAAAAAAAGGATGATTTGCATCCCCAAGAATACCATCCCTACTGTGAAGCATGGGGGTGGTACATCATGCTTTGGGGTGCTTTTCTTGCGAAGGGGACAGGACGACTGCACTGTATTAAGGAGCGGATGAATGGGGCCATTTATTGTGAGATTGTGAGCAAACAACCTCCTTCCCTCAGTCAGAGCATTGAAGATGGATCGTGGCTGGGTCTTCCAACATGACAACGACCCGAAGCACACAGCCAGGATAACCAAGGATGTGGCTCCGTAAGAAGCATATCAAGGTCTCTGGAGTGGCCTAGGCCAGTCTCCACACCTAAATCCAATAGAAAACATCTTTGGAGGGAGCTGAAACTCCTGTGTTGCTCAGCGACAGCCCCGAAACCTGACAGATCTAGAGGAGATCGGTGTGGAGGAGTGGGCCAAAATCCCTGTTGCAGTGCAAAACCTGGTCAAGAACTACAGGAAACGTTTGACCTCTGAAATTGCAAACAAAGGCTTCTGTACCAAATATTAATACTGATTTTCTCAGGTGTTCAAATACTTATGTTCAGTACAGGGGTGGACTGACCATTTGGAAACTCGGGCACTGCCCGGGCCCGGGTCAGTAGGGGACCCCATGAGATGCCCCTGGTACCTTTTTGATAGGCTTTTTTGAGTTTGGGCAAGGACACAGGGGCCCCATGATCCCCTATTGCCCAGGGGCCCCATGAGTTGTCAGTCCGCCCCCTGGTTCAGCAGTGCAAGACAAATACATTCTTTACAAATATACAATGTGGATTTCCTGACTTTGTAATTTTAAAAAAATCTGCCTCTCAGAGTGGGAATGCACCTACAATGTGAATTGCAGACCCTTCCATGATTTCTAAGTGGGAGAACTTGCAAAATCGCAGGGGTGTTCAAATACTTCTGTTCCTCACTGTACACGGTTGAAATGCGTTTTTATTACAAAATATATGAAAATATTTCTTAAAATACATTTCAAATATACTGTAATCTTTAAAAATGCAAATCTACATTTTTTTGGAATACATTTATAAATATATGTTAAAATGACTTTTTTATATGTTAAAAAAAATCTGAAGAATATATTTAAAAAAATATATATATTTTTAAAAATATATATTTTTTTTAAATATATTCTTCAGATTTTTTTTGTAACATATAAAAAAAAGTAATTTTACTACCCAGGAAACGCAAATTTACTAGATACCCCTAAAATACAGGACAGTAACAACAATACAATGCAATCCCTGTCCCCTTCCTGGAAACCAAAATAAAGGGGGTCTGGAGAAAGGCAGTGAAGATTACAACATGTCATGAAATGTTCAGATGTAAGAAAAGGTATCTAGGACAGAATGCAATCCAGATGTGCTCATTGAAAGGGCTTCATCCAGGGGGCGGACTGACCATTTGGAAACTCGAGCATTGCCCGAGGGCCCGGGGTCAGTAGGGAGCCCCATGAGATGTCCCTGGTACCTTTTTCATAGGCTTTTGAGTTTGGGCAAGGACACAGGGGCCCCATGATCCCTATTGCCCGGGGACCCCATGAGTTGTCAGTCTGTCCCTGGCTCCATCTACAAAGATTCTGGGAGGAATAAGGCAGTTAAATGTCAACCAGGTCTTACTGATCACATAGGGACAGAAAGGCCCAGTCCCTCCACCCAACAGAACCAGTTTCAGTAGTATCATGAGTCCAAACCTTCAGTTTTAATAACTGTTCAGAGGACATACAATACATTCTATCCAGTAAACTGCCCATATCACCCAGACTGTAATACTGAATCACCTATATTACAGAATCTTCTTCTATTCTATCCTAGAGCCCATCAGTGATCGATCCACTCTGATGGTCAATCTGCCCATCTGCCACAGGGTCTCAACTCTTCTCCTTTGCACTCTCAAGGGTCAATAGTGGAAGGATCCACAATGAGAACACTTCATAATGGCATGCTAGGCAGGTGGAGCTGGGAACACAAGAGCAGATATCCCACTGGCAGAGACCTTGAGGGACAGAAAAACTATGGGTGGAGACCTAAACCTGCCTACATCCGCACAAACAGAATTGCATGGGCCCCATTGCCTGTTGGTTCCAATGGAAGAGAGTGTACCAAGCGACTGCCTGAGGCTGCCATAAGTGCAGCAACCCACAGAAAGGAATGAATGTGTAGCACCCTCCTAAATAGGTTGCTAGGATGATTGATATATTTTGTTCTTTTTTGGCTCTTTTTCCTTTCTTAATCAGTGAAGCCATTTTTGATTGCGTTAGACTGTTCTGGGCTTCATTTGCTGCAGGTTTCATTGCTTCCCCCTGCCTTCCGGAGGATTCTAAACTGTAGTGGGCTGGAAAAGGCAAATCAGCAGTCTGAATATATGTATGCTGTTTCTGCCAATCCCTGGGGGAGGGTGCCCAGTAGGTGGCTTAGGGAGTACATAAATATAGTCTTGGGCGTGGGGCAGCTCTGTTCTTGTCCAGGAGGAGAAGTTCCCAATCTGAAGGGATGCTGCCCTACTAGGCTGCCCAACTAAAGTTCTACATGAGCTCATGCAGCTATGCTAGATCTGGGGTCAATTTTTCCTGATAACCTTTGGGACTACTTAAGGGACTTCGGTGGGGATTTGGTCTGGAGAGATCATGGAAGAAATGTCTGGCTGATATTGGAAGGAAGCGTCCAGTATCCAAGGACATTGTGAGTAGAGTCCTGTGTTTTGGATCCTAGTGACTTCTTACTGTTACTATCCCTTGTGCACCAGTGCGGGTGTTTTTTTGTGTAACAGGGTGCAATCCTTACAGTATCCCCTTGCTGATCATTCCCTTGGCTGCTACTGCGGATTGTGCTAAGAAGCATTGACAAAGTGGAGAGCGCCCTCTTATCACTGTACAGTGGCACTAGAGAGTATCAAACAGCTCCCTGCACCCCATCCAAGTTTTTTCAGCAATAAATCTAAAAAACAAACACAAACCCAAGATGTTCATTGAGCCAGAAAGAGTGATCTAATGAAGACAGTGAGAACACTTCGTAATGGCATGGCAGGCAGGTGGAGCTGGGAACACAAGAGCAGATATATCCCACTGGCACTGTCCTTGAGGGACAAAAAAAACTATGGGGTGGGATGGGGAGGGACCTAAACCTAAAGTGTGACTGCTGCAGATATCCCCCACTGGCACTGTCCTTGAGGGACAAAAAAAAACTATGGGGTGGGATGGGAGGGGGACCTAAACCTAAAGAGTGACTGTTGCTGTGTTCTTGGCTGCCACTACACTAACTTGGGAAAAGAACCCAGAGCAAATCAGCGGGTCCTTTCTGAAGTGAGAGTCAAAGAGAAGCAAACTAGGTCCCTATCGGTGGTAAGATTAGCTGAAGTAAGTATAAGCTGAGGCTTCCTGCACCCAGGGGTTTAATTAAAGCACAGATTCACCAAAGCACTTATTAACTACTTGTTGACCACAGATAGCCACTGGCAGCTTCACTGCGGCCGGCCAGTTTGGGGAGGGTGTCATATGATGTCCTCCCAGAACGTGCTCTCCTGCATGCCCCTACGGGCGCGCACCGGCGATTTCCGTGATCGCTGTGTCCTGCGGACACAGCTGATCACGTGATATGGTAAAAGGCCAATCAAAGCGGCCTTTTACCATGTGATCAACTGTGTCCAATGACACAGCAGATCACCGGGAAATGCAATTGACGGTTATTGGCTGCACTTTCCTCATGCTGTCACAGCGTGAGGAAAGTACTGCCGATAACTGGCAATTGTCAGAGGAGGGATCGGCACAGATCATCAGGGCACGGATGATTGGTGCCCAGCAGTGCCACCCACCAGTGATGTCCACAAGTGCCCAGCAGTGCCACCCACCTGTACCCAGCAGTGCCACCTACCTGTGCTCACCAGTGCCATCCACCAGTGCCCTATAGTGCAGCCCAGCAGTGCCATCCATCAGTGCCCATCAGTGCCCCATCAGTGCCCAGTGACCCATTGGGTGCCAACAATCAGTGCAGCCCATCATCAGTGCCCATCACTCAGTCAGTCAGTGCTGCCAACAATCAGCGCCCATCAGTACCAATCACTTCTGCTTATCAGTGCCCATAAATGCCCATCATCAGTTCCAGCTCATCAGTGCCACCTATCAGTGCCGCCTATCAGTGCTGCCTATCAGTGCCATTCAGTGCCATCTATCCGTGCCGTCTCATCAGTGCCACCTATCAGTGCCCATCAGGGCTGCCTATCAGTGCCCATCAGTGCTGCCTATCAGTGCAGCTTCATCAACGCACATCAGTGCCCATCATCAGTTCCAGCTCATCAGTGCCACCTATCAGTGCCGCCTATCAGAGCCCATCAGTACTGCCTATCAGTGCGTTCAGTGCACCTATCCATGCCATCTCATTATTGCCACCTATCAGTGCCCATCAGTGCTGCCTATCAGTGCCCATCAGTGCTGCCTATCAGTGCAGCCTCATCAGTGCACATCAGTGAAGGGGAAAAATTACCTGTTTGCAAAATGTTATAATAGAAACAACTTTCAAATTTTTTGTTCTTTTTTTGTTTATAGCGGAAAAAATAAAACACCCAGCGGTGAGTGAATACCACCAAAAGGAAGCTCTATTTGTGTGAAAACAATGCTAATAATGTCATATGGGTACAGTGTTGCATGACCGCACAATTGTCATTCAAAGTGTGACAGCGCTGAAAGCTGGAAATTGGCCCTGGGCAGGAAGGGGGTATAAGTGCCCGGTAGGCGAGGGGTTAAGCAAAAAGCTTTGTCCAGATGAACAATAAACAATTCAGATCATTGAAGAACTATTCAGGAATAGGAAGATCCCAGTCTGTGTGGAATCAGGGTCTTCATTGGGTCGCAAGTGCCAAGATGAACATGATAGCGAACGTCATGTAGAAGATCAGCGTCCGTTCTCTATCATCTCCTTCACTCGCCCATCTGCCCAAACTGGCGAACATATCATGAAAGGACCATTCTTTTTATTGTCGCCCTAAATTACATCAATTCCCAATAAAATGTTGCTGTTCCTCCCTTATAAAAAGTTCAAATTAAAAAAAAAATTCCTAGAAAGCACTTGCTGAAACATGTGTTGCAAAACATGCAAATCAAGAATCCTTGTTTGTGAGGCAACCAGAGGTAGGTTGGTTATGAGTATTAGGGACTGACGTGTGGCACACCCCTCTAGTTCCTCATGTGTCATACATGTCACAGGTGTACATTGGAATACAGGCTTTAAGGCATGTAAGGGATCAGGCTCTGGTGAGATGGGTGTGATGTCACCAAAGATACAAGATTGTTATGAAATTGGGGAAAACCATAAAACATGATGAGAGGTTTCTGGCTCAGCCCTGAACGCTCTTCCTTCTAGGAAAGAGATATAAAAAGCATCCACACAACGGAGGAAGAATGTATTCCATCCAGACTGCAAACATGAGACTGGCGGGACGGACCCTATGTATCCTTCTGGGGGCGCTACTGCTCCAAGTGGTGACTGCAGGTATGTGATAACGGCCATTACTCCATACTCATACTCCTTGACCTTTCCGCTGCCTTTGATACAGTCGACCACCCACTCCTCCTCAGTAAACTCCACTCCATCGGTCTCCATGACTCTGCTCTCTCCTGGTTCTCCTCTTATCTTTCTCAGCGCACTTTCAGTGTCACATACAACTCCTCCTCCTCCGCTCCTCTTCCCCTTTCTGTTGGGGTTCCCCAA